TGCAATGCCAGGATCTCAGCTCACTGCAACCTCTGTCTCCCAGGTTCAAGAAGCAATTCTCATGCCTCGACCTCCTGAGTAGCTGGGGCTACAGGCGCCCACCACCACGCTTGGCTCATTTTTGTATTTTTAGTAGAGACAGGGTTTTACCATGTTGGCCAGGCTGGTCTCGAACTCCTCACCTCAAGTGATCCACCCAGTTCAGCCTCCCAAAGCGCTGGGATTACAGGCATGAGCCACTGTGCCCGGCCTACTTTTGTTTTTGAAGTGGGTTGGGCTGGGCCTGGGTTGCTCAAATCGCAGTATAGCACTGGCATAGGATATATCACTGTCCTCAGTTCCCAGCACCTGGGTCTCCTCGGCTGTGAAAAGGGACAGTGATAATAGTGGCAATCACAGGGTTGTTGTGAGAGATACTTACGATTTTGTAGAAACACCCACGCAGGCTGGGCATGGCGGCTCACATCTGTAATCCCAGCACTTTGGAAGCCCGAGGCGGGAGGATCACTTGAGTGCAGGAGTTCAAGACCAGCTAGGGCAACACAGTGAGATCTTGTCACTACAAAAAATGTATAAATTGGGCGGGCAGCGGAGCGTGTGGTGTGCACCTCGCCTGATGTTGGGTGTGAAGATCTGGGCGTTCCAGGACTTTCCAGGCCCAACCCCCACATGGGTCTTTGCCTGTCTTGGCCCAAAGTCTCTGCATATATATTCTGTTAATGTGGCTGCGAGGCAAGCTCTCTCTCCCACGCTACAGGACTGCCACCACGCCATCCCACATGTGCAGTGTGAGGTGCCTTTCCTGGTGTTGAAGAATCCTTTGCAGTTTACATTATTATATTATATACAAGCATAATTGTATTAATTGAATGTCAGCATAAGAAGTCGTCGTGATGTTCAGGGCTGGAGGGACCGTGTGGCTCTTCAGGCTTTAGTCAGCTGCGCTGCAGGATGAGCGAGCTCGCTCGAGCTAGTGTTGACCGTCGCTGCAGTGTTCTGGAGACCTGGGCCTGTGAGTTGCACCGTCTCATCTCCATATCGAACACTTGGCTATCCCTACGCGTAAGCTTGAGCCTGGCTACGGTCTTCCACGGCAATAATAAATGAGACAAAACATCCTAGAAAGAAGCACATTATGACTTCAAACCACAAGGAAATGTCCTGTTAATTTTAAAAATAATCGTCGTCAAATTACCTCCACACTCACTCAACCTCATTCTCCAGGCGCTATAGACGACTACAGGCATGAGCCACACATCCGAAGCACAGTTGACATTTTTGCTGTGACACCAGAAATGTCATCCTGGGTGACCAAGGAGCGAACGCCATCATAGCGCCTCTGTGTGCATCATTATAGAATACAGGTGCTCGGCACGTGCCCTCACCCAGCTATAAATGCTTTGTATACTCATTGTCTGCCATCGATGGTAGACGCGATGTCTATCATCAATGCTCGGACACAAAGCCTCTTCCGAGTCGCGAAAAGGAGTGGGGGAGAGCAGCGCGAGTGCCCATGTGCGCTCAGCTCCTAATCAGCCATACCCAGCCGTGTGTGGGCAGCGCGAGAGGGGGAGGATTACTTGCGGCGTCGCAGCGTATTGGCTTGAGGCTAGCCTGGCAACAGCGTCCTCAGACCGCCTCCACCACGCACGCTGCCGCCACAAAGAGTGTGACAAAGACATATACAGCCTATGCACTCCCTTGCTTGCAGTTCCTATTGGTCCACGAACTCAGGAGCTGAGTCGGGAGGATTGCATAGCCAGAGGTCACGGCTGCGTGAAGCTACCTCTCGATAACATCACTGCCTTCGCCCCTGGGCAACACAGCAGGACCACCCTCTTGGCCTCCCCCCAAAAATTCTACGAATCATTAACTTCCAATACATAAGGCCTTACCACTATTACTTAAAGATCTCTCACGCTGCAGCTTAAAACTCAGGCTTACTCCCCTGTCAGAGTCAGTGGCTACAATGGCCATCTTGCATAGCTACCTGCATCCAGTGTCTTCCAAGAACTTTCCATCGACCACGGCTCACCATGCATCCGGTGCCTCCCAACACGCGCTCTCGTTATCCCAGTATACTGTTGAGAGGCCAGGCGGGCGATCATCTCAGGATCAACCCGAGAAGGATCTCAGAGAGACAAGTGACATCCTGACACAGTGCTTAACCCAGGTGTAACCCGTCTCTACCAGACAAACGCAAAAAGCTACCGCAGCCGGGCATGGTGATGGGCGCGTTATACCTTGTCTCTGTGACCTTATGGTCTCTCTCTCCTCCTCAGGTGGAACTCTCACCCATACCTTGTGCCATTTCTCCGCCCAAGCGGCTCTCCCTTTCCGCCGATATTATCCGACGCCTACTCAGGAGGCTGAGTGTGCATCCCTGTGACTAGGTCGTTACATAGCTGCCGGGTTTGTAAGGCTCCTGAGGGTCCACGAGATTTGTTACAGTGAGGCCCGAAGTCATGCAGCATATCTGCGAGCGTACATCGGGGTGAACTCCGCAGCCATGAGAAGACAGCACTCCACTAGTGGCGTCAATAAAGTCAGACACAAAAACAGGACTCAACGCGTTCTCATACAGTAGGTGCCCCAATGGTACCACCACTAGGCCATAGCCTAGCTGTAGGAGTAGGGCGTGCTTGGCCACAAGACAAGATGGAAGAGATTTCTGAAGACATAAGTAATGTGTTAACATACGGCGCAACTCAAGTTACAGTATCATATAAGACTTCCTGTGAAAAAACATCTGCATTTTCCAATACTCTCTGGCGCGCGAACAATGGCGCGGATCCCACTTCCCGAATCGCTCGATAAAAAGTGTCAGACGGATGCTGGGTCTAACAATACAGAACTTCGAGCCTTAGCGTAGTGTGTGTCGTACGCGATGTCCGCAAACTTAGTACTCTCTCATCCCAGCCACTCGAGGCTCCAAGTGGCGCAGGTCTGCTCAGGCCTCTATTCGGAGACACCCGTGCACACACAGCCTGAGTGCTGGAAAAGTGCAATTCCTTGTGAAGTGCTGCGTGTCTCGTTAGCATCCAGTGCTCAAGGCTGCTCTCAGAGGCTCCACTGAGGAGGCATCGGGCCTCTGGCCCTCTGACTCACACTGCAGCCTGTCCCACAACCAGCACTCGGGGTGACAGCATGCGGCCACCCACCCCTGTCTCCAAAAATAAATCGAATATGCGCAAATAAAATTAGCCTCCAGGTGGAGGTGACAACACCAGCTCCATAATCCCGGGCTGCTGGTTTTGTCTTGCTTTGTGTTTTGTTTTAAGACATCAAACAGCACCTATTACATCTCTGTGATCCATGTCGTGGAGTGCAGTGCGTGCAGTCATAGCTCACTGGAGCCTGACATGCCGGCTTAAGTGTCCTCGCAGCCTCAGCGCGATGCCTTGTAGTAGCTGGACTGCTACCAGCTGCCCCAGCAGCGATCCAGCACACGATCTCTGAGTGTACGTCTCAGTGCCTTTTGAAATTTTTTATACGAGATGGTTGCCCAGGCCTGGTCTCAGACTCCCTGACTCGAGCATCCTCCTGCCTCCGCCATCCCCAGTCGCTGGAATTATAGGCTTAGTGTCACCGGACCACCTGGCTACTTTTCTTATTTTGCCTATTTTATTTTATTTTTGAGACCAGGGTCTCAATTCTGTCACCGGGCGGAGTGCATGCCACGAGCATAGCTCAACGCAGCTCAACTCCTGGCCTCGAATGGAATCCTCCCACTTCAGCTTCCTGAGTGGCTGGGATTACAGTTCATGCCTTCAACACCTAGTCATTCTTAAGTTATTGTGGAGATGGGATCTTGCCATTGTCTCCCAGGTGTCTTGACTCCTGGCTCCAGCGATCCTCCTGTCTTGGCTCCTAAACGTGTTGGGATTTACTGCTTGAGCCGTTGCACAGACCTCTGGGTGTGTCTCTATGAGCGACTTCCCCACACATGACCTCACCTGACCTCAGAGAAAACCCATCAGAGTCATAGAAGCGGACAAGGTCATTACCTGCGGAGGGGAGAGCCTTGGGCCGGATAAAATGGCGCAGCAAGGGTAGGGGCTAAGCTTCCTTTGGGAGGGGAAGGGACATAGGGGTACGAGACAAGGTGATGTGGGCCTGACACTGTGGGCCACTTTTCTGATCCTGGGTGAAAGTAACGGACGTAGGAAGGGATCGGGAGCGTGGAGTAATAGCGCAGTCTGGGTAGAGGAGAACAGTGGAGCCCGCTCTAGAAGACGTGCAGGGGGAACAATGTGGGTGGGGACTGGGCAGTGGAGATGCCAGCCTGGCCCAGCCGGGACTTCAGACGCGTGGCGCCGCGCGCCCCCATGGTGGCCGTGAGACCCTGCTTCACCCTTCCCAGGGGTTTGAATGGCACATGCATGGGCAGAAATGATTCAAAGCTGAGCAGGTGCCAGGCACCGTTCAATTGTGCACAATATGTGCGGTGTTTCCTTTTTAAATTGTTTATGTAAGAGTTATTTTTTAAACATTAACAGGCATTTCCCTTGGGTCTTGAGTCATAATTTTCTTTGTTGCTTTTTTTTTCTTTTTTGTTTCCTAAGACAGAGTCTTCTTTCTGTTCGCCCAGGTAGACGGCAGTGCGCCAATCACAGCCACTGCACGCTCGACCTCCTGCTCCACGGCTCTAAGCAGTCCTCCACTCAGCTCCCCTGAGTAGCTTGGACTCACAGGTGCACACCCACGCCCGCCCAATTTATACATTTTTTGTATGACAAATCTCATGTTGGTTGCCCTAGCTGTCTGAACTCCTGCACTCAAGTGATCCTCCCCCTCGGGCCTACCTCCAAAGTGCTGGGATACCATGTGAGCCGCCATGCCTAGCCTGCGTGGGTGTTTCTACAAAATCGGTTAAGTATCTCTCACAAGCAACCCTGTGATTGCCACTAATTATCACTGGTCCCTTTTCACAGCGAGGAGACCCAGGTGCTGTGGAACTGAGACAGTGATATATTTCCTATTGCCATGCTATACGTGCAGTTGGCAACCCCAGGCAGCCCAACCAGCTTCAAAAAC